AGAGAGAGAGAGAAACAAAGAGAGAGAGAGAGAGAGAGAGACAGAGAGAAACAAAGAGAGAGAGAGAGAGAGAGAGACAGAGAGAGAGAGAGAGAAGAAGAAGAAGAAGAAGAAGAAGAAGAAGAAGAAGAAGATGCCAACAAAAAACAACAGCTGGTTGAAAAAGCAGGAGTGTATGGAGAGGATTTTTTTTAATATAATGTAAATTTAACTATAGCTGTATTTAGGACAATTTTTGGAACAAATACAGAAGCTATAACTGGCCATGTGTATATTATGTCGAAAAACAAAGTAATCTCGCCGGCAGAGGAAGGCAAAGGCAAAAGAAACACACACAGAAAAAAAAATAATAATAACTGCTATGCACATGCCTACGCTTAGTTTTTCAAAAAAAAATTGTAAATGCTTATTCAATTTTAGTTAACTTGATTTGAAAACCAACCAGCAATATCCAAGAGAAGACACACCCATCTTGCCCCGAACACAACGCATTCTGTTCAGGTGTGCGGCTGCCAGGGGCACCCAGTCACGGGAGAGCAATTCTTATTTCGGAAAAAAATTAAACCCCCCCCGGCAACAAAACCTTTCGAGCACAAACCATTTGTCGCGGGGGCGGGATTTATAACTTTTCTTTTTCTTTGGGAAAAGTTATAGATCCCCCAGCCTCGCAACAAAACGTTTGTACTCATTTGGCCCCGCACCATCGCGAAAGGTCAGAGAGGCCCCCAAATACTGGTGGTAAAAGTTACGGATGCTCCCCGTGCCTCAAGCCTTTCGGGGCATCCGACACTTCCGGGGGCGGCAAACGAGTACAAACATTTTGTTGCGGGGGGGTGGGGGGGAAGGGACCTATAACTTTTCCCTCTTCTTTGCTCTTTCTTTTTTGTTTTCCAAAGCCCTAAGCTCTTGGGCCTGAAACGGAAAAAATGGTCAAGCCAGCTTTGGAAAAAGGCCAGAGCAGGCTGAGGCAGGATACCAGCCAGGTAGTTGGGATCCCCGTACACCGCGGCAACTTCCCGGAAGCTACAGCAAGCTTCCGGGCTATCGGACGCCTGGGCCCACCAGCCCAGTCCCAGCCCTGGATCAGCAAATAGGAAGAGACCGAGATAGGCAGGTAGACTCACATTCCCACAGTCCCGGTCCCGGTCCCAGTCCCTGGAGACTGTGAGAGCGGGTGGAGGCAACAGGCAGCGCCACCCAGTCATCAAAGCTGGGAGAAGGGCATCACCAGCAGTACCTGGCCGCTTGCAGCGCTCCGAAGCAAGGACAGCTGGCACAGAAAGGGAGGTCCTTGGAGGAAGGGGAAGACTGTAGCGAGAGAGTTCTGGGAGAATTGGCAAGGGTCCTACCTGGTGGTCCCCACAAAGAACAAGGTCCAGCATGGGACACTCTTCGTCCGCACATCGGTACGAGCAGCATTGCACTCTTTGCGGCATCGTACGTTGGCCTAGTGCAGTGGACTAGAGGAGTAGGGCAGAGAAGTAGATAGAATACACGATCACCTAGAATTTGTAGACAGACCAGTGAAAGCAGAGAACTCTTATTGTAGTTGCATGTATCGTTGGGAGTCGAGGAAGAGGCCGTCCGTAGGCGAGGAAGAGGCCATCCGCAGGCAAGGAAGATATGGACGACTTGTCATCATCAAGACACTTCTTTTTCTTTGTTCTTTTTTTTCCACTTCACCATTGTCATTTCTTGTGTCGGCGTCGTCAATGCTTTGCCGTTTCTGCTAATCGCCTGGTCACCATATGCATGGTTCTCATGCTGGTGTCGTGCTTGCTTTGTCATTCTGTTTCTACCATCTTCACCTGCATAGGACACGGTCACCCACTCGTTATTGCTGTATCTAAACGAGCAGTTGCCCCATATACGGCTATACTGACCGGGCGCTCTATTCGGGTGACGATGGTAATCATCGCTTTTGCCGCTGGTATGATCATTGTGCCGCTGGTGTGATCACTGCGCTTGTTAACCAAAGTGTCTTTACTCCAAATTCCTTGCACACACATGAATCCAGACCAGTCATCGTCCTCGTCATCATTGTGGTCATCGTTGTCCTCATCCTCGCCGTCGTTGTCGTCATCATCCTCATTGTCATTGTCATTGTTGTTGTTGTTGTTGTTGTTGTTGTTGTTGTTGTTGTTTTGGGGAGGGAGGTTGCATTGTAGTGTTCAGGGGGAGACAGGAGTGAGAGAGGGCAGAGCGGATATATTTTCACTTTCAGGCTTTCAGCACATACCTGGGGCTTGATAAAGTGGTTTGGCCGCCTGCGTAGGTAATTGGTCTGTGGTCTTCATGTTGAAACCCGAGCCCATCCGGCGATAACAGACATAGACGAGAATCATGACGAGAACCAGTAGGACCGCAAGCATGGAGACAACGGCGACCAGCAGATATCTGATTGCCATCTTGTTCCCTTCATCACCTGCTTCTATTATTGTTTTCCAAACAAAAAGGCCAGGACAAGAGCAACCAGAATGTGTTTCATCGAAAATGTCAGCATGTGTTTTTTTTCCTGAGAAAATAAGATCTGACTTTCAAAAAAAAAAAAAAAAAAAAAAAAAAGCATTTGCGAGTTGCAAGAGAGTGACAGAATCTGATGCATCATAGCTACTAGCTAAGCCCCCGCGGTGCGGGCGGTGCGGGCCATGCCCGCAAGAAATAAGAAATGCTGGAGGCAACCTGACACAGACCACTCACATAAACTGAGACAGACTTAAAAAAAAAAAAAAAAAAAAGCGAATCACAAGGTAATAAAGAACAGCCTAAAATTGGCTACAAAGTCTGAGTTTAATTGACAAATAGCTTAGCGCCTGCGGTGCGGGCGGTGCGGGCTACGCCCGCAACCAAAACTACCGGAATGGTAAAGAAAGTACCATAGAGCAGAGTACAGTGTCATAGAGTAGAGTAGAGTTGCATAGAGTATAGTGCCGTAGAGTAGAGTAGAGTAGAGTAGAGTAGAGTAGAGTAGAGTAGAGTAGAGTAGAGTAGAGCAGAGCAGAGCAGAGCAGAGCAGAGTAGAGTGGAGAGTCATGGAGTAGAGTAGAGTAGAGTAAAGTGGAGAGCCATGGAGTAGAGTAGAGTATGAGTGTCGGAGAGTGTCGTAAAGTAGACTAGAGTGTCGTAGAGTAAAGTAGAGTGTCATCGAGTAGATTAGAGTAGAATGTCGTCGAGTATAGTGCCGTAGAGTGGAGTCCAGTAGAGTGTCATCGAGTAGAGTAGAGTAGAGTAGAGTGTCGTAGAGCAGAGTAGAGTGTAGTGTAGTAGAGTGTTGTATAGTATAGTGTAGTAGAGTAGAGTAGAGTAGCGTGTCGTAAAGTAGAGTGTCATAGAGTAGAGTAGAGTAGAGTAGAGTAGAGTAGAGTACGGTAGAGTAGAGTAGAATATTGTAGGGTGGAGCAGAGTGGAGTAGAGTGGAGTAGAGTAGAGTAGCGTAGAATGTCGTAGAGCATCGCAGAGTAGAGTAGAGTAGAGTGTCGTCGAGTGTCGTAGAATAGAGTAGAGTAGAGTAGAGTAGAGTGCCATAGACTGTTGTAGAGTGTCGTAGAGTAGAGAGACTGTTGTAGAGTGTCGTATCGTATCGTAGAGTAGAGTAGAGTAGAGTAGAGTAGAGTAGAGTAGAGTAGAGTAGAGTGGAGTAGAGTAGAGTACCGTGTAGTATTGTAGGGTGGAGTAGAGTAGAGTAGAGTAGAGTAGAGTAGAGTAGAGTAGAGTAGAGTAGAGTAGAGTAGTGTAGAGTAGTGTAGAGTAGAGTAGAGTAGAGTAGAGTAGAGTAGAGTAGAGTAGAGTAGAGAAGAGTAGAGTAGAGTAGAGTAGAGTAGAGTACAGTAGAGTAGAGTAGAGTAGAGTAGAGTAGAGTAGAGAAGAGTAGAGTAGAGTAGAGTAGAGTAGAGTACTCTAGAGTAGAGTAGAGTAGAGTAGAGTAGAGTAGAGTAGAGTAGAGTAGAGTAGAGTGTCGCAGAGTAGAGTAAAGTACAGTAAAGTAGAGTGAAGCAGAGTACAGTGTCAAAGAGTAGAGTAAAGTAGAGTAAAGTAGAGTACAGAGTGGAGTAGAGTAGAGTAGAGTAAAGTATCGAAGAGCAGAGTAGAGTGTCGTAAAGTAGAGTGTCGTAGAATAGAGTGGAGTAGAGTAGAGTAAAGTGTCGAAGAGTAGAATAAAGTGTAGTAGAGTAGAGTAGAGTAGAGTAGAGTATCGAAGAGTAGAGTAGAGTGTCGTAGAGTATAGTAGATTGTCGTAAAGTAGAGCAGAGTGTCGTAGAGTGTCGTAGAGTGTCATAGAGTGTCGTAGAGTAGAGTAGAGTGTAGTACAGCTGAGTAGAGTAGAGTAGAGTAGAGTAGAGTAGAGTAGAGTAGAGTAGAGTAGAGAAGAGTAGAGTAGAGAAGAGAAGAGTAGAGAAGAGTAGAGTAGAATACAGTAGAGTACAGTAGAGTAGAATGCAGTAGAATGTCGTAGAGGAGAGTAGAGTATATTATCGTAGAGTACAGTATAGTAAAGTGGAGTAGAGTGGAGAAGAGTTTCATAAAGTAAAGTGTTGTAGAGTGTTCTCGAGCAGATTACAATAGAGTGTCGTAGAGGAGTGTAGAGTAGAGTAGAGTAGAGTAGAGTAGAGTAGAGTAGAGTAGAGTAGAGTAGGGTAGAGTACAGTAGAGTGTTGCAGAGTAGAGTAGAGTAGAGTAGAGTAGAGTAGAGTAGAGTAGAGTAGTGTCGTATTGTAGAGTTTCATAGAGTACAGTAGAGTGTCGCAGAGTAGAGTAGAGTAGAGTAGAGTAGAGTAGAGTATCGTGGAGTAGAGTAGAGTAGAGTAGAGTAGAGTGTTGTAGTGTCGTGGAGTAGAGTAGAGTAGAGTAGAGTAAAGTGTTGTAGAGTAAAGTGTCGTAGAGTAGAGTAGAGTAAAGTGGAGTGGAGTAGAGTACAGTATCGTAGAGTAGAGTAGAGTAGAGTGTTGTTGAGTAGTGTTGTAGAGTAGAGTGTTGTAGAGTAAAGTGTTGAAGAGTAGAGCAGAGTGTAGTAGAATGTCTTAGAGTAGACTAGAGTAGAGTAAAGTAAAGTAGAGTAGAGTAGAGTAGAGTAGAGTAAAGTAGAGTAAAGTGTCATAGAGTGTCGTAAAGTGTCGTAGAGTATAGTAGAATGTCGTACAATTGAGTAAAGTAGAGTAGAGTAGAGTAGAGTACAGTGTCATAGAGTAAAGTAAAGTGTCCTAGAGTAAAGTAAAGTGTCCTAGAGTATCGTAGAGTGTCGTAGAGTAGAGTGCCGTGGAGTGTTGTACAGTAGAGTGTCGTAGAGTGTCATAGAGTATCGTAGTGTCATAGTGTAGAGTAGAGTAGATTGCCATAGAGTAGAGTAGGTAGAGCAGAGTAGAGTAGAGTAGAGTGTTGTAGAGTAGTGTGTGTGTGTGTGTGTGTGTGCATGTGCGTGTGCGTATCACGTGTGTGTGGGTGGGTGGGTGTCTGTCTTTCTGTGTCTGTATATGTGTGTGTGTGTGTGTGTGTCTGTGTGTGTTTTTGTGTGCGTGCGTATGTGTGTGTGTGTGTGTGTGTGTGTGTGTGTGTGTGTGTGTGTGTGTTTGTGTCACAATGAAATTTGCATACCCCCCAATGTCCAGACTGCTTGGAGTATTGTATTAGACGGGAAAAATAGTTGAAGTCGGGGTACTTTTCTCGTTGGTCGACATGTGATAAAGCTGCAAAAAGCAGCAAAAATGGAATATAGGACGAATTGGCGCGGCATTTGTTTCACGATCGTAAATAGTTTTTTTAATTTTTTTAATATTTTGGGGGAAAAGACCACAACCAAATCTACAGGCCCTTCAATTTGCAGAGTTGTGGAGTTATCCTTCTAAGCGCAAAAAATCGTGAGAGTTTTGGGTAGTTTTCCCGTTGGCCGACACATGATAGAGCAGCAAAAAACAGCAAAAATGGAATATAGCACGAATTGGCGCAACATTTATTTCATGATCTTAAATATTTTTTATTTTATTTTAAATATTTTTCATGGGAAGATCACGACCAAATCTACACGCCCTTTAATTTGCAGAGTTGTGGAGTCATCTGTCTAAGCGCAAAAAATCTTGGAAGTTGGGGTACTTTTCCCGTTGGCCGACACGTGATAGAGCAGCAAAAAGCAGCAAAAATGGAATGTAGGACAATTGGCGCGGCATTTATTTCACGATCTTTTTTTTTTTTTTTAAATATTTTTTGTGGAAAGATCACCACCAAATCTGCAGGCCCTTCAATTTACAAAGTTGTTGAGTCATCCTTCTAAGTGCAAAAAATTGCAGACGTTGGGGTATTTTTCCCGTTGGCCAACACGTGCCAGAATGCCAAAAATGGAGAATGCAACGAAACCGTGTGCCATTTATTTCACAGTCTAAGTTTCTTTTTTTTCAGTTTTTTTATATTTTTCCAGGAAAGATCTCAACCTAATCTACAAGATCTCAATTGTTCATATTTTTTCTTGACTTCGTCTGAGTGCAAAAAATCGTCAGAGTTGGCGCTTGAAAATTGCGGGACATCCTGACCAGCCAGCTGCCTAACGTCGGATACACTTCATAAAAAAGCAGTCCCCAAAGGCACACAGGGACCCGGCTCACCTGAGTGGTTATCAGAGCAGGCAGTTGCATATCTCAAATCTGTGCGTGGGTTCGAACCCCGACGACAACCATTAGCAGCGAACTTCATATTACTAATATTTCTTTGTGTGTGTGGGTGGGTGCACCCGCCCAACCACCCCAATCCGTTTTGCCATCTTGCCACAAAAGAAAAAGGAGAAAAGCGCGAAACGACGAAAGCGCAAAAAGAAAAGAAAAAAAAGCGGGAAACGGTGAAAGCACGTGAAGCAAAGAAAAAAAAGAGGGTAACAACAAACGCGAGGCCGCAAAACAAACAATGTGAAAACCGTGATGACGAAAGAAAAAAGAAAAAAACTGACAACCCGAAAACTGCAAAACAACAAACGAAGAACAAAAAGAAGATGAATATCCGGGCAGCTTGAAACAGACGGAACAAAACGAAAACGAAAAAAAAAAATAGTCCGCGCCGGCCGCTTATTGACGGTGGACGCTTCAAGATATTTCATCGCATCTACGCCCACCGCTGCCCCGCCCCGTGGGCGCTCGCTCACATTTGCTGCCGCGCTGTGAACAATTCAGCATGCTCACCGCTCTGCACGCCCCAGGGCCCTCGACCGCCTTCATCCGCCGGGCCGCACCAAGACTTTGGCCCGATTTCGGAGCGCAGCGGACCATTGACCTCCCCCCGCGGCCAATGCTCCTTAAGGGATAGGATGTGGCATACTCAGATCTCACAGGGGGCGATTTGGCTCAGCATTGTCGCAGTTTTGGGCCCTGGGCCCCACAGACCGTATGTTGGGAGGTTCCCCAGGGCCACAACATCCCTTTTAGCCCTTGAAGGTCCAGGTAAGTGTGTTGGGTTTGTTTATTTATTTGCTGATATTTATTGCGACTTCAAGAGTATTTTTGCCTGTCACATCTTTTTATTATTTTAGCCTTTTCTTCTTCTTTTTTATTTGTAACCCCCCTCAGAAGACCCCCCTCCTCCCCTCCTCTGATCAACTACCCCGGCACACATGTGGTCCACCCAGGACAATCACCCATCACCAACTCGGCTAGCTGACCTGACCTGACAGCTGTTGCAGCTACTAAGGCATGCATTGGGAATGCTAGAGAAAGAGCGAGTGAGCAAGGGCGCATGCGCGCGCGCATGAGAGAGAGAGAGAGGGAGAGGGAGGGAGAGTTGACCGTACTTGATGCTGCCACCTGTCCCTGCTGCCACATCAGCAACAGGAGCGCCACACAAAGCTGACGTGTCGGTATTCTCCACGAGCAGGTCCATCCGGAGGGTATGTGAAACAAATTGCACTGAATCTGATACCGTGATACTATGTGTCCCATCATGATTTCCTCGTTGAGACGCCAGCTCCTCCGATCTCGTCGTCTAAGGACCTGCATGTATAGACAGATGTCGCGCTACCGTTGCTTTCGATCCCGATAGCTTGCAGCAATTTTAACCCCAAAAAAAGGGGTCCTCTTTACTTTAACCCCCTAGCTGAAAAAAAGGGGGTTCACTTTAAAGCCTTAGCTGAAAAAAGGGGTCCCCTTTAACCCCCTTAAATGAGGAAAGGGGGTCCACTTAGCTCCATAAAGCACCACCTCCCTGCATGCATAGACAACAGGGTAGAGTACGCCCGTTCATGCTGCCGACAATTGAACACGAAATCCTTCTGCAACCGCATTTCCTGACCTGCATTCACACATTCCACATCACAACACCCAAAAAAAAAAAAAAAAAAAAAAGGCATTAGTGCAGCGGCTGCAGCCA